GGCTATGACGTGTGGCTGTGACGTGTGGCTATGACGTGTGGCTGTGATGTGTGGCTGTGACGTGTGGCTGTGACCTGTGGCTGTGACCTGTGGCTGTGACCTGTGGCTATGGCCTATGACGTGTGGCTGTGACGTGTGGCTGTGACGTGTGGCTATAGCTGTGACGTGTGGCTGTGACGTGTGGCTGTGACGTTTGGCAGTGACGGTATCCAAGACTCGAATCCAGTAAGCCAAACCACAGATCCGATAATCCGACAATTTTAGCCGTTGAGTCAAAAAACGTTAACAGGTGAGACGAAGCTACACAGTCTGTGTAAGCCATGAGTCTAACTTGGCTTATGGGTGATTCTCATCAAAACCGACCCAAAATTACTTGGGCGTAGAATAACAGGTCATCAAAATATATAACTAAAATATAACTTAGAAATATAAAATTAAGTTAATACTGCTAAAAAAGGCCAAAAACGGGAGGTTTCAGATAATGATCCACCCGTAACACAGGCCTTTCAGACACTATAACTCATCTTATGATCAATATTTTTTCACAAAACTTTCTGAAAGGCTTATTTATAGGACAGGTAGTACTTCTAACAAGTTTGGAATCTTTATCTTAGTAGATAAGGAAAATTTAGGCTGATAAAAATCTGGAGCGTTACGCCCGTAACAAACCCGTAACACGTTACGGGCGTAACAAATTCTTAAATGTTACGCCCGTAACACGTTATGGGCGTAACAATTTCTCAAATGTTACAGCTGTAACACGTTGTTGGTGCAACGAATTTGTAAATGTAACACCCGTACAGTTATAAAATGGTACCAATACTAATAGGTGTGTAATGTAAATACGATGTACTGTAGTGTCTGGAAGAGTAAATATCTTCCTAGATAGGTATGTGATTGAATTCTTCATGATTAAATTTGACACGAGGAAGCAGTGTTATTCTAGTTCCCGGAGGTATTTATTCATTTGATGTTTGCAGCAGTATTCTTGTTTGACTCTTTGTGAACTCTTTGGAGAATTAGTCAAACTGCTAGCTATCTGTCGAGGATTTTAACTAATTTGTCGTTTTTTTGAATTTTGTTGTTTTTTGCTAACTACAGTTGAGATAAAAAATAATCGATTCATAGAACTTAATGTTGTAGAATCAATTAATCTCATTTGCCTTTCTAGTTTTTACGAAAAAGTGGCCCGTAGTCGGTGGAGAATGTTAGGACATGTTTTGCGGGGTCCTATTGACGGACCAGCGTTTTCTTCCCTCATTTTTGCCATCAATACACTGGACTTACCAGGGAGAAGAGGAAGACCCCAAAGCAATCTATTCTCGCTGATTGTGCATGATTTATGTAAAAGAAATCTTTATTTGAATAATATCTTTGACCTGCATTATCTCCGTAATTTGAGTTATGACAAGAGATATTGGCGGAAATTGCAATGAAGTTCTTTATTTTTAGTTTTTGTTTTAGGGAAAGATTAGACTTGGGCGTTGTTTTTTAACTATCCCTTGTTTAGAACTTTGATTTAATAAATATAAGTTTTTACGAATTTGCTTTCTAGAATGCCTGGGGACGAAGAGGAGAAATTCGGGGGGAGAACAAGATCGGGAAGAAGTAGAGATGCAAAGGATTATATTGTAGAAGAAAGCAAGGGCAGTGGATCACAGAAGGAGAAGAGAGCAGAGGAGAAGAGGGCGGCAACTAGGCTTCGGGTTGCTAAATTCCGGGAAAAAAGGAAGGCAGATGTTGCCAGGCAACAAGAATACCTGGCAGCGGAACGAGTAAGGGATAAGGAAAGGAGAGAGAAGCCTAAGTCCCGCAGTGAAACAAAGAGGCTGAGACTAAAAGCAAAACTAAGAATGCAAGAGCAACGGAAAAAGGTGAAAGATAGAGAGGAGAAAGACGAGATGCTGCAAAAACGGAAAGGATTGCTTAAACGAAAATCCACGCTCAAGAAAAAAAAGAGTGAGATTGGAATCCTCAAAAAACAAATCAGAGAGTTGACTGCAGAGATGGAGGGTATGAGGTCGGACAATTGAAAAACGGCAAAAGCTCTGATTGCCAGCCTAGTATATGATGCATTTTTCAATAGCCATTTTGGGAAAAAGTTAGGCACAAATAATGAAAGTAAGCATATTACGTAATGTTACCGGCGGCGACCTTGTAATTAGTGTGATATCATGTTCCATGTGGAAACTATACTGGATGTAACTTGATTATTACGTCATGTTCATTGCTCACGGTACATTTGTGATATTATCGTGTAACGATCTTACCAGATTAAAGTGGGTCAAAGTGAGGTAATAATGTACCACCTGCAGCACGCTATCCTTAATCCTTATCCTATAAAAGTATAAAGCACTTGAGTGACTTATTTAATCGTTTCTAGTAATTAATTTACACCAGCTGTCAATATAAACTGATTGTTGCTGTTAAAAGTAAAACAAATGATTCGTAACTGGTTAGAAAAATAAATGGAAATGAATAAGTTTTTACGAATAGCATTAGCTGAATATTATTTACACGATACACATCCAAAAATAAGTTTTGACAGACTTAAATTAAGGTCTTAGTTTAAATCTATAAATATCAAATCGTACGCACACAATTCTTTCCACTGTCCATTTTGTTGATGGTCTGTGTAGTCGAGCATAGTCAAATGCGTCTTGTTGCTCAATATCCTCAACAAATTGTCTATAATCAGACGGAGTTTCTAATAATCGAGGGAGTGTAAACAGCATCGTGTTGTTTGACGGATGAAAGAACTTTAGTTCATCTGTAGTCCTGTCCTTGAGAATAAATCCAAACGCCACATTAACTTTGAACTTCTCGTTGTATTTTGCAACAACTTCTTCAGCTTTTCTTAAGATCGCACTATTATCCATGGTGAGTATAGGAAAATGGTAAACATCTTTCAATCGACCCTGTCTCACACTCGTTTTAATTGTGTTCCAACTCTTTTTGTAAATATCCTGATATTCTCCAGGAATTTGTGCAAGTGTGGAACGGTCCATAACTAAATCTAATAATATTGACAGCAGAAGATTAATTTTGAAAAGCAGTTCTCCCAGATGCTTTTATAGTCTTTGTTCCGGAGGTCAATTTTATTCATTAATTTCAGTCACTTTGATCCTCAGATTGTGAAATGGAATGATTATCTAGCGTGCTTTCTAAATCTGACGGATCAATTTCACTACTATTAGAATCCGATGAGTACTGTTCTTCTTCCTTGTCTGATGCCGTTTCAGATTCTGACTGATCAGTCATAGAGTTATTGTCATCAGGGTCCGATTTCTCTTCTTCATTTACAGATTTTATTTCCTGTTTCTCAGAATCAGATGGCTCAAATAATTCACCAAGATCAGTTTTCATCTGGTCAAACATGTTCACGAGATGATTAAAATTATCGTGTATCATTGCTTTTGCCGTTAACTTCGAAGCATTAGATATTTCATTTAGCAGCTGGATTTCCTCCTCACTCAGTTTACTTAGATCTACCGTTTTCAGTATCAACTTGAGGACGTTACGGAGTTTAGTAATATCTGCAGTCACTTCACCTATATCATTTTCAACAAAGGCGTTCCTTATTTCAATCATACCATCGATAAGATCTTCGGCTGCCAGTTCGTTTAAATCAACGTCAATCTCTTGTCCAACGTTTTTATAAACAATATTATCCATAGTATCTTGAATATCTCTGATATCATTTTTGTTTGATGCCGTAAGTTTGAGTATTCTGAGTTCATTTGATGGAAGAATGCTGTCCTCATATCTATCAAAGTGAGCATTATTACTCACACTGTCATTACTTTTCGTCTCCTCACTCATGTTCCGGACAAGTCTGTCTAATTCATCGACAGTCGATTGCAGGATATTTAGGTCTGCTTTCATTAGTACAATGTCCATAACTTTATCCTGTAAATAATCATATCCAGGACCACCTGTTGTGAATTCTTTGGCTGCTGGAAGCTTATTCTTAGTAGCGTAATCAGTACCATACTCGTAGTCGAGTTTCACGGAGTCATTGGGTGAACTGTGGACCTTATCTATATTTCTGCTATCTTTCTGTGACCGGTGATACGAGTATCGATGGGTGCGAAGACTTTTAGAATTTTTGTACTGCCTTCCACAACTATCACATGAATATGATTTACTACTCATTTTCAAGCTAGATGAAGAACTATTGAATTCATATTAACTGTTAAAAGCCCCTTATACACCTCTCAGATACCTCTCAGAAACCTCTAACGACAATGAAAGTATTAATTTATCAATGATGAAGGGTATTAATGACGGGTATTATTAATAATGACGGGTTTAGTGAGGGGTATTATTATTAATGACAGGTATTATGATTATTATTAGTGACGGTATTATTGTTAATAATGACGGGTATTATTATTAATGACGGGTATTATTATTAATGACGGGTATTATTATTATTATTAATGACGGGTATTATTATTAATGACGGGTATTATTATTAATGACGGGTATTATTATTAATGACGGGTATTATTATTATTAATGACGGGTATTATTATTATTAATGACGGGTATTATTATTAATGACGGGTATTATTATTATTAATGACGGGTATTATTATTATTAATGACGGGTATTATTATTATAAGTGACAGGTATTATTATTAATAATGACAGGTATTATTATAAGTGACGGGTATTATTATTAATGACGGGTATTATTATTATTATTAATGACGGGTATTATTACTAGTGACGGATATTATTATTAATGACAGGTATTATTATTATCATTATTAATGACGGGTATTATTATTAGTGACGGGTATTATTATTAATGACGGGTATTACCAATGAAGACGGAATAATGACGGATATTATTATTATTAGTGACGGTTATTATTATTAATGACGGGTATTACCAATGAAGACGGAATAATGACGGTATTAAACATTTTAACATACAAAAATAAAACAAGCTTTGTATTATGGAAAATGTTTATATCCGAAACAAAAATAAAATAAAATAAAACCGTGGCAATTTTTCATCTCAATTAGTCGATGATCACACACCACCTCAAATATCTAAATAAGTCGTGCTAATACCGTTATCTAAAACCTTCCTCTTGACATATAAATGATCGAGGCCCTTTTTGGTGAGTTCGTATGTGTACATGCTTTGTCCTTTGACAATGAATCCCTTGTTTACTTGTAATTCTTGTTTCGGGTCTTTGTTGAGAACCTTCAAATAATCTTCTTTGCTCAGGCGAAAATGTCTGTTGATACCCTTTGCACTATGTTTATCCTTGTCGGGAGAGTTGTTATGGAAGCAGTAATAAGTTTTGGCAGCCAAGCCGACAAACCCGTCACCTTCCCATTCCATCTTGAACAATCCTGAAATAGAATTCGGTGTAATAAACTGAAGACGACGTCCCTAATTAATACAATAATTGTCCACGTCCTTGAGTAATATAAATATAACTTTTAATAATTGACAAAAAACTACCAGGTTCGAGGGGCCAGCTACCCTTCAACCTTAAAATAGCTACTGAAACATCAATGAATAACCAAAAGTGGAGTGACTCTCGGAGTTCAAGGAGGGGTGTAGCCAGGATGAAGTGCTCTGGGCAAAGCCGCAAGGACCCCAGTGTGCAGATGAGAACAAAGAAGTCGCCTTATTTCAACAGTGTTATTAGTTCACAGCATATCACTCATGTGGACCCGGAGAAGGGGAGAGCACTCCCATGCAACTTTATCAAACACAGCATTAATGTGGGAACGTGGAATGTGTTATCATTGGAGAGCAGCTCCTCAAAGCTGTATGAATTGTCACAGAATATGTCAGCATATAAAATGGATGTCTTGGGGCTGACAGAGACGCACAGACCCGGAACTGGTGAGGTTACCTTGGATGATGGGTCCCTCTTTATTAACTCAGGAAGAAGTGATGGGTACAGACGACAAGGGGTAGGTTTAGTCCTCTCGAAGAAGACTAAAAATTCATTGATTTCATACAGTCCGATATCAGAACGTATTCTTGCAGCGAGGCTGCACAGTCGACATATCAACATTTCGATTGTGATAGCTTATGCTCCAACTGAGGATGCAGCAGTCGGGGTAAAGGATGACTTTTATCAGCAGCTATCTGGGGCATTTGATGAACTACCAGCTCATGACGTGAAGTTTTTACTTGGAGATCTAAATGCTCGCATTGGCCAAGATAACTCAGCTTGGTCCGGTGTGATTGGTAAGCATTCCCTTCACGTTTCATCAAATGACAACGGCCTTCGACTATTAGATTTCTGTGCATTACATCAGCTGACAATCGGTGGGACGCTTTTCCAGCATCGTGATATTCATAAAGGAAGTTGGAAGTCTCCAGATGGCCGCACAGTAAATCAGATTGACCATGTCTGTATTTCTACCAAGTGGAGTCACTCTCTACTTGACGTAAGATCATGCAGGGGTGCAGACATTGGCTCCGATCATTATTTGGTTCGAGGTCAATTTAGAGTCAAACTTATGGCAGTTCAAAAACTGAACGCCTCTCGTAGGATATCTCCAGCAATTGAGAATCTTAGAGATCAGTCGAAGGTTGAAGAGTACTGCATTGCTCTTCAAAATCGTTTTAACTGCCTACCAATGGAGGAGAATCTTGATGGAGAATGGACATTAGTTAAGGATACTATTAAAGAAGTGTCTATGGAGGTACTGGGTGAGCGCCCCCGGCGTAGAAAGCAGCAGCATTTGTCTCAGGAGACAAAAAACCTCATTGCCGAACGCAGTAAGATTAAACAGATGGCGCCTAGTGACAACAACAATAGGAGCGAGTATTCTCGGGCCAACAAACTTGTCAAAAAGAGCTGCAGGAAAGACGACGAGAATTGGGCTCTTAGAGTTGCAGCAGATCTGGAAACAGCTGCTGTACATGGCCGGCAAAGGGAAGTCTGGCAACGGATAAAAACACTGTCCGGTAAGAAGAATCGAAAATCAACTGCTGTAAGAGACAAATCCGGGAAGTTGATTGCTGATCCCTCTGCTCAGAGAGAGAGATGGGGAGAACATTTTTCGGAGCTATTAAACCCTCCTCCCACGAATGCGGATCTGTCTGACCTGGACCATCTTGAAGTGGTTCCATGCTTTCCTTATCTTGGTGATGGTGATGGTCCCCCCACTAGACTTGAGATTTTAAACTGTCTCAAAAAATTGAAGAACCACAAAAGTGCTGGGATCGACGAAATCTCTAATGATCAGTTAAAGTATGGGGCAAGTGGTCTTATGGATAGGATGGAGAAATTGTTCTCTAAAGTTTGGAATTCAGAAGCAGTGCCTGACGACTGGTTGAAAGGCATCGTGATAATTGTACCAAAGAAGGGTGATACCTCTCATTGCTCCAATAATAGGGGGATCACTCTAAGATCTACAGCATCTAAACTGTATCAAATCATCATATTACAACGCATGAGTGACGGTTTAGAAAGTTTGCTACGAGACAATCAATGTGGGTTTAGAAAGAACAGATCATGCATTGATCAGATTTATTCACTCCGCACTATTATACATAACTGCATTGAATATAATCTCCCCCTGTATGTAAATTTTGTGGACTTCAAGGCAGCTTTTGATTCCATCGACAGGAATTATATTTGGAAAGCTTTCAGTCATTATGGCCTGCCATGTAAATACATACGAATAATACAGGCATTCTTTAATGGAACTGTTAGTGCTGTTAGACACAATGGTGAACTATCAGAATGGTTTGAAGTAAGTTCAGGCAGTGGCCAAGGAGACATTCAGGGTCCTCCACTTTTTAATGTCTGCCTCAATGTGGCTGCTGAGAGAACAGAAAGCAACAAAGTGGTGTCCCACGGAGCGGTTCTTCAAAGATCTATCAGTCCGCTTGTTGATGATATCACTGTGTTAGATACAGATTATGCAGATGACATGGCTGTACTGGATAACAGCGAGGAAGGTCTTCAAGAAACAACTGACCTTTTGTGTATGTATGGTGCCCAGGGAGGTCTCAGAATCAATGGTAAAAAGACTGAGGCTATGGTCATTGGTAAAGCAACCTCTCAACGGCCATACACGAAAGAAGCCACAGTGAACATCACTGTTGAAGACACGCCAGTGCAGCAAGTTAGTGACTTTACGTACTTAGGTACAATTATTTCCAGCGACGGTACTATCGACCGTGAGCTGTCAGCGAGGATTCAGAAAGCTTCCGGAGCCTTCAATCAACTGAGTAATATATGGAAAAACCGCAACATCCAGTCTTATACAAAAATCAGGATTTATAAGGCAGCGGTTTTGACAATATTGCTATATGGTAGTGAGGTTTGGAACACAACCAAAAAGCAGCTACATCGCTTTGAGGTGTTCCATCAGCGTTGCTTGAGGAGAATACTTAGGATAAGATGGCTCGATCGGGTTAGAAACACTGAAGTGCTGGAGCGTGCAAAGATAAATCCAGTAGAGACGTACATAGGAGCAAACCGCCTGCGTTGGTTTGGCCATGTCACCAGAATGCCAGACACTAGGCTTCCTAAGTACCTGCTTAACTGGACCCCTGCCCATGGGAGAAGATCTAGGGGCCGTCCAAGAAAGAACTGGAGGAAATGTTTGCTGGAAGATGCTGCAGCGTTTACAGGAAACACTGACATAGACCTAGAAGGAGCGAGCGTGATGGCTAGTGACCGCAAACTTTGGAGGGAGATGATACGTCACAAACGGGAGTTCATTGGTGCAGGCCACTCGAATGATTGAGGAGACCTAATCAAGTACAAGTAAGTAAGTAAGTTTAATAATTGCGTTACTCTGTTACCTGGGGTCCTTAGATCGTATGCCGCATTGGATTTGCTGTCAATCCGTGGAAACCACTTCTTTTTAGCTTCCTCCCATTCTTGTGTCATTTCAGGCTTTACAACACTGTCTAAATCCATTCCACTGACAGCAAGATACAAACTGTCTGAGGATTATAGTTTGAGATTTAGTATTTTAATATCCTGTGTAGATGTATTAGACCTATTTTAGATTCAATTATCTCACAATGTTAGGCTATGTTTGTTAAAATTAAACCTGTATCCATCTCTAAAACACAGTAGTCTTGTCTGTCAACGAATCGATCGACAACATCGTAGTAAAAGCTAAGCATTCGCATCTTAGCATACTGATATACAAAGAAGCCTAACTGGATCGGTAGGTCGTGTTTGATAGACTTCTTTTTCAGCGTTATCTGGTATAATTAAATATTACGTGTTTCAAACTTTTAAAGCTAACACTTTTAATTTTATATCTTAAATATCTGATATGAAATCAATACATTAATTTCTTACTATTTCAAATAGGCGTCGAATAAATTATACCTCGAACGTTTCTTCACCACACTCCTCAAATGAACTGAAGAAGGGATCGTTGATAGCTTTTGACGCTTTCTCGATTCCACAAAACTTAACCGCAGTGTGCTTCGATTTGTCCATGATCGAATGTCTATACACACTGTTACCTACGAAAGTGGTAGGATAGTTGTCACCCTTATTTTCTATTTATTTGCTAAAATTCACCAATAAAATGTTAAAGTATAAAGTGGTATTCAAACCTATAAGCTTTGATGTATCACCAATGATCTTTTTACTGATGTCAGCGTCACCTGAATTGTCTTATTTAAAACAAAGTACTCAAGGAGTTAAATCAATCTGGAAACAATGTTCATTATAAAGTTTGTAAATATTATTATAGCATGATGTAACACAAAAGTACTTTATTAAATTCTAAATAATTACACTCACCAGCTCTTCGGTCGTCAGACACTTCATCTCCGAATCGTTTGAAGCACTCCTTCGGATCGAATTGGATGACCTGGTATATCTTCGTCACTTTGAGTCCATGCTTTACATACCAAATCAGGAGTGGAGTTATCAAGAGAATTTTGGTTCCAAACATAGATCCAATTAAACATCTCCGATCGCGGAAATTCTGTTTGGATTTAGCCAAATGATCCGTCATGTAAACTCCAATGTCTGATAAGGATATAGTTGTGTTTTTGAAGATTGGTGTCATCTCAGTGAAATGATCTTTCAATCCTTCCGGAACCTCAATATCCACTTCAACTACACCAAACATGCTGCCGTCCATCACCATAGCTAGTATCTGGGACTCTCTCATGTAAACATTCGACTCTCCCGGATACAAGTATTTGTTTTTGAATTCGACAGTTTTCTTCAGATCTTTCCATTCGCACTCCCAAATCACCTCTAATCGATACCCCTCATCAGTAATGTAGTCAGATACCTCTCCAGTGGCCTTATAGCGATCGTCAAAGGATCTCCAACCGTTACGAGATTCTTCACGGTTGTGTTGTGGAGACTTAAAACAGGAAAGACACCCGTGGAAGAAGCATCCGTGGAATTGAAATACAGTCTTTGATTCTCTGAAAAGAAAAAATTTGAAAAAATGCGTGAGGAATGACGCTGAGAGTTTATAAGTGACAACGATTAGATAAGTTAGGTATCGAAATGAAAGAATCAAAGTAAATTATTTAAAATAAAACCTGCAATAACCATCCACCGGTATTTTTCTGCTCCCTACTCTAAATTCAGTCCCATTGCGTGCATGTTGTATATCAATCCCTCGTGTTGTTTCAAGATAACCCATCCATTCACCACACACAGCAGAATGAGGTTTGGGATATTTCTTCTCGAATAGATCCTCCCGTTTTCTTCGAAGAAACATACCACAAGGCATTTGTTGCTGCATACACCCTAATAATTTTCATTCCACGTAAATAATAGCTTTTCTGTTCGACATAAACTTAGAAAATTTGGCTCAACCCTATTATCTGTAAGAAACATTAAACAAATAAAATAAAATATTAGTTCACTTACAGAGGTACAGCGCGTTTGCATCATAACCCAAAATTCTCTTACACTGCTTTCCTTCGTTGTTATGTCTGATATTTGTGACACCTGTTCAAGAATATATATCATTAGTTAAAAATTTCTAGATCAAGTTATCAATTTTAGTATCATTCAAATTACGTTATCATTATTATTTTCACTCACCTGCTTCCTGATATCTATCGAAAATGATGGCAGGGCCACCAACATTATTTCCTCTGAAAAGTTCTACCAGATCTGCGTTTCTTTTATTGAATAGGAGAAAATTTTCATCAGGTTTCAAAGTTTTGAACGCAAGCCAGGAACTGAAACCGAAAACATTATAAAAAGTGTATTTTACCTTCGCAACAGTAAAATAATTCAATTCATAATTTACTCCAAGAACTTCACCGTGTCGTTATAATATGATATTATTAATTCATAATTTTTATAATTTACAGTACCTATTTTACAGTTTAAATACCTATCTTTTGATTTTATTAGTTACCTGAAAATCCGTCTTTGAAAGCGTCAACACCTCGGTCTATGTAGTACTTAGACATATTCTTTAGGGCACTTAAAAATGGTTTGACATCTGCATTGTTATAATGGATTAGATAATCCTTCATAGTCCATTTGTTTTCGTAGAACATGTTGCTTACTGTCTCATATCTCAGCTGAGAGATTTGGAACATTTCGTCGGAAGTAAGTGGAGTACCTTTCGACGGTTTTCTTCCTATAAGGTTAACTTCATCTGCACCCAAAATTTCCGTCGCAGTGGGTTGAAGTGTGTTGGATCCTTTTAATGAAGAGTAAAAGTCCTGGTAAGATGGGAAGCAATATGACTCAAGCTTCTTCAAGTCATTAAACCAATCATATGGAAAGAAACCCTTCTGAGCGTTAGCACCGTAGGCGTGAAGGAACTGAGAATAGTTAAACGAAGGTGCGATGTAATACATTACATCAAGAAAACGCAGCTCTTCAGTCACTATTGCCATGTAACTTGTACTTTTCTTTATGACAAACTTAAGTGAGTCTAGATCAATGATAACAGGGATAATAAACTCTTTTAAGATTCTCAAATCATAACTGGCACCGTTAAACGATAGCACAGGCAACTGTGTTATATGCTCTTCAAATCTTTGAAGTGTCCTCTCTGAGCTTATCTGATCAAGATACTTCGAGTACCTTTCACGTAGAATTGCAGATGAAGTTTCACTGATTTTCATGAGGTAATCAACAAACTTCTTCGCAAGCTGCTTTTGACCTCCCTCACAAGGCAAGATGAAACACTTCGGAGAGGTAAATCCAGGTACATTACTACATACCGAAACAGACGCAAGCTCATGTTTAGACGTATAGTTTATTTTGGCTGTGTCGTTGATATCTACTTCCTTCTTTAACATACATTCAATGTCATAAGTGGCCATGAATGGAAATGGTCGAAGTTCAAGTGGCACGAACACTCCCTCCTCCTCAAGAGCCTCAAAAACAGTGGGTCGGAGCTCAAATGTACCGGTGCCGTATTTGTGTTTAACACCTGCTTCACAATTCCGAACATGTCTATGGAAGTTTCCCGAGCTAGACCATATCTTATCACACTTTGAACACCTATAGGACTGTGAGTAAATGGCTAAGTTCTTGATAAAAGAAAAGTGCTCGCCGTACAGGTTAAGGTTCAGAGGATTGTTAGACTCCGTGATGGTTCTAAATATCAAATCGGTGTTCCTCTTTTCATCCTGTTCATAAACATTTATTGCAACTTTGAAGATGCGCGATATCTCCTCTAGTTGATCCAAGGTGACACCTTCAAACTCCTTGATAGAAGCTTTTTCACAATACAAGTTTTTCAGCTCTTTTGCTTTCCCTTCCAGTCCATCAAGGGGCAGCCCCATGTGAAGACTAAGACTTCGGAAGAAACACAACTTGTCGTTGTAAGCCTTTCCCTTCCTTTTAGTTAAACTTATCAAACCTTTGTTGTTGGCAAGATGTGCTGGAAGTTCAACTGGTGACCCAATAGGAGTTCCTGTGAGCTTGTAGACGAAAAATGTAGCATTTGTGACTTTAGCGATGGTCCATTGACTGTTGGGTCTGGATATCGCTGTAATCAGATCCACACTTTCTAATTTCCGAATAAAGCTAGCCTTGTCACTGGAATTTCTAATAAGGATTGGTTGATCAAGAAGCAGCTGGTTGTTTTGGGAGCTTTTGTAAAAGGCATACTCCTCTGTGGTTTTGTTAAAGAGGATAGCTCCAATTGAAATTTTGATTTTGAAAGAGTTTTTCTGTGCTTTGAAAATCGACTTAAATCGATAAATGAGTTCATTTGGTGAAAATTGATCCATTTTGAAATTGAATGTATCCATTATTCGACCAAATTTGCTTGCTGTCTTAATGAATCGGTCGTACTCCTCATAGATGTCGTTAAATTCGCCCTGGTCTAAATCTTCGTCATCTGCATTTTGTGATAAGGAGGCAGATGACTCCGGGAAACTGTTCCTAAGATTCCATTCATGAATCTCCTTATGATCCTTAAATTCGGCCGGAGGCACTCGCTTTCCACAGTCTTTACAGCGAATTTTACACTTGCTGGCATGTCCTTTTAAGTTATCAGCACGCATAACTGAACCACAGTCGTTGCATTTAGTCTTTTTATGCCGGTTCTGAAGGGACCGACAGATAATGTAATATACAAATCGCATAACAGCACGGGATATTTCATGAGCATCACGTTTCATTTATCAAAGTAAATATTTAAAAAATTGTATCATAATATCGTTTTAAATAAAAATACCTTAGATTTTAACGTTTCATCCGCAGCATTCTGTTGATCATTTCCTTCAGAGGAGGGTTCTTGAGATTGAGTTGAGGGATCTTGAGTTGAGGGATCTTGAGATTCTCTCAATTCTTCAGTACACTGGTGACTTTCAAGTTCATCCTGATATTTTTTCAGTATTTAACTATGAGTTTCATAAAGTTATAAGTTTATACTATTTTAAAACGTAATCAGATGTATTTGAATGTGATCGTATCTATTAAAACCTGGCGCAAATAAATTTTAGTTTTCTTTATTATTGTAAGAGTCGTGCTTACAGTATCCTCTTTCAAATAATTGTAAAAATGTACCTCGTTGTCAGCCAGAAATCCACAGTTCCTACAAGATGCCACCAGTTTCCTCCTTTTTCTCGGGATAGCGGTGTCAATATTAGACGGCCCAGCCACTTCATCAAGAACTACAGGGTGTATCAGGACAGAAAGCATAAAAATGATTAACCATTTGCCGAATAACCAGCAAATAAGTTTGTTCCACATTTCTATACAAAAAAAACAAAGGAACGCAGGAATATATTCTAATCAGTGTCAATAGTCAACAAATGATAAAACGAACAAATGAGAAATGAATGCGGCTGTAGCGGTAACTTGTATATAACCTCGGTTGGCTGGCAGAAACACTGTCGAGTTTCTTAGAAACAGTATGATCTAACACCTGGCTGCTCTAATTGATGTGTGTGGGACCAGTGGAATGAGGGGCAACATTTTCACGTGGACCTACGTAGCAACATATAATGTCTGATATTTTAGAGGTACCCTGATCATGTGGGGTACGATAATTGTTCAGGTGATCACTTGAAAACATTATGATCTAATAACACCGGGGTGATCTATACAAATTGTGATGTTAACAAATTTTTGGGTCACATCGATCCAATGTTGCATCCAATACAGCTTCCACATGGAACGTAATATTACACCAATTATAAGGGTTAAAAATATTAATATGAGTCACTCGAGTGATCTATAGGATAACGGATAGTGTGCTTGCGACACATTATAACTTCACTTTGACCCACTCTAATCCGGTAAGATTGTTACACGATAAGATCACAAATGTACCGTGAACAATGAACATGACGTAATAATCAAGTTACATCCAGTATAGTTTCCACATGGAACATGATATCACACTAATTACAAGGTCGCCGCCGGTAACATTACGTAATATGCTTACTTTCATTATTTGTGCCTAACTTTTTCCCAAAATGGCTATTGAAAAATGCATCATATACTACTCAGCCTCACTCCAAGGTCTAAACGCAAAATGAAGTCGAAAGTCAAAAACCAAACTCGCTTGAGACTTATGCTCTTATGGGGATAAGGCTCAGGCAACATAAAGTTCGGAGAAGACTTCAGCTTGAAGCAAGTAGTGCAGGTCCTACAGTGGAGGTCGATGATAACGAAACAGCCAAAGCTCCAGCAGCAGAGGAAAACGTAAAAGAGCTAATCTGTGGGTTTGCAATTGCTAACTCTGTAGCAATTCCTGACATAAAAAAGATGAAGAGTGTGGTAGTTGAGGGTTTCAAGGAGAAAGTTCCTGTGAGGTTCCGGAGAGACACTCTTAGAATCCTACACAATAAGTTCCTATCAGAAAATACTGACGTTGAAGTGTCATTCTCGCACTTTGCGAAGCACTTTCCCACCGAAACTGTGGTAATCCCTGGAGCTGAAGATTAGGGTACTGCTGGTTGTGGGAAATGTCTCAATCCTCGCCAGAGGCACGTATTAGGTGCGATGGGTGCGGGATCGCACAATTTACCGTTTTCCGCACATTTCCGCATAATTTATTGTTTTCCGCACATTATGTAATTTTCTGCATATTTCCGCATAATCTAGCAATTTCCGCGTAATTTCGCATAATTTTGAAATTTTCGCGTTAAGATATTCGAGTGTAAAAACCAAAATATGTTAAAAGTCGGGCCCTTTTAGGACCGTGACTCAGGCCCTTTTAAGACCGTGACTCAGGCCCTTTCGGGACCGTGACCCAGGCCCTTTTGGAACTCATACCTAGGCCACGTGACCCAGTTACCACGTGACCCAGGCCCTTTCGGGACCGTGACCCAGGCCCTTTCGGAACCGTGACCCAGGCCCTTTCGGGACCCTGACCCAGGCCCTTTTGGAACTCATACCTAGGCCACGTGACCCAGTTACCACGTGACCCAGGCCATTTCGGGACCCTGACCCAGGCCCTTTCGGGACCGTGACCCAGGCCCTTTTGGAACTCATGCCTAGGCCACGTGACCCGGTTACCACGTGACCCAGGCCCTTTCGGGACAATGACCCAGGCCCTTTCGGGACCGTTACCCAGGCCCTTTCGGGACCGTGACCCTGGCCGTTATGGAACCCTCGTCGTTACCGTACTTCGATCATACTTGCAGCCCTTTTTATCGGGTAATGAGCTCTATTCGTTGTAACTTGTAGCGTTGGCTCTATAGTGGGCTTAATGGATCTTGGATCAAATGGTTTACAAGTACTGACGATCAATGCCAACAAGCGTGTCACATATTTGCGATCACGCATGGGATCTGATCGACTCTATCAAGAGGCGTCTTCAAATAACTGTCTCCTGATCTCTACCAGATCAAGTCACTGTTCTCAGATAACTGAATCTCAATATAGGTTCAATCATGGTCTTAGTAAAGAACTACACCCTCAGTAACACATAAACAGACCTATTTTTGATAAGAGCGGCGGTTATACGTTTAGAATTTCCAAAGTCCTTCAGAAAATGCAAAAGAAAACCGCACAATTCCCGCACAAATTTCGAAAAAATCGTCGCACATTTGCCGCATAATTGGTAAAAATTTACCGCACCTCACCGCACATTTTACCTTTATAGTCGGGTGCGGTACCGCATAATTTCGATTTTTTTACCGCACCTAATATGTGCCTCTGATCCTCGCTTCAAGGTTGAAGTTCTCCACAAAGCCGGATGTACAACAATTTCGGCGGAAGAAATGTGCGAACAAATGCGGTTGGTGACAAATACTACAAACAACACTACTGCCTGGAACCTCAACCTAGACAAGGATATCCCAGATGAAATAACATTTATGAAGTGGGTGAAAGTAGACGCTGACGGCTCAAGTGTGCCTATTGATAGAAAGGAACAGTTCACGAAATCTAAAAGCTTATTCCAAGCAGGTATTATATTACTAGACTAATCAATCCTTTTGAATTTTCCTTCTTCTACAAAGTTATAACTTGTTAACATCATAAATATACGAGAGATGATAGTAATATATAATGCTTATTACAATCGTTAATTCTATTTTAAACCCTCAGAGCTAACGCGTGAGTTGAGAGCCCTTAAGGAGCACCAAATGACGATCCGCTTGCAGTTCCGGAAAGTCAAGAGGGAAAAGGAGCTCATGTTAACTGATCCAGAAAAAGCTATAATCCATATGGACTGGTCAACTAACCTTGCTATAAAGCAGTCTCGTGCAGTACAGGAATATTTCTTTTTTAACAAGCAGTTATCGCTCCACCCAATGGTGTTGTGGCACCAGGGAGGCAGCTCTTCGATCTGTACGTTTTCCGATAGTATAACTATATGTCACAAAGCAGATGCCACTTGGGCAGGAATCTCGGGTCTTCTATACGAAATACTAAGGGAAGGATACATAAAGATTGTCTTCATTTCAGACTCTCCAACTAAACAGTACCGAAACCGGTTTATTGCTAGTTTGCTTGAACATTGAGTAGACACCTACACCGAGGAAATCACTGTAAAATGGATCTACCTCGAGTCTGATCATGGAAAGGGAGCAGCAGATGGTGTCGGTGCCACTGTAAAGAGCAAGTTGAAAAAGATAACTGCAAGAGACGACAACTCCGATTTCTCTGCCGAGGAACTGAAGAAAAGTTATCTGGAAGAAGACCAAAATATTCGGGTCATAACTTACAGTAAGGATGATGTCGATAAGATCAAGAAAAAGTGTAGCTACATCAATGCTGTCGCTAAGAAAGGTATTGCAAGCTGTCACGAAATAGTGACCACCCGGGGAAAGACAACATTGAAAAAAATATCTGGAGAACCAGTATGTAAGACATTCACCCGTCATGTGTCCATCCCTGCGTCTGATGTTGCAACCCTAGCGATACCAGCGCCTGTCTCAACAACTCCAGCGAGGTCAGTCTTTGTCCCAGCTACTCCGGGCTCGGCGAGCACTGTGGCTGATGAAATTTGTACTGCAACGTTGACAATTATCAACAGTTACTCCACGCCACCTCAAAATGCAGCTCAAGCCTATACTCCAGGTTCATACAGGGAACTCCTTGACTGTGACTTTAATAAGAGATTATTTGATGATCTGATCTGGGTAGTGGTGAGGGTTCCAACCGTGAAACAGAAGAGAACTCTGCACTACGTGGGCCAGATCATGAGATACATCGAGGAAGATGGTCCAGCCGTATTCACTTACCAATAGCCCTGGGCCTGTAATGTTCCTCTTCAAGAAGCTCAATGAGCCAGAGTGCTATCTTGAAGAGGACATTCTTTTCACTTTAGAAAAGCCCTCAATTCTTCCTCGAAACAAAATTCAATTTTCAACAATACCTAATTTTTCAAGTCTCACTGTTATGTAATCAGTTAATTTAACAATTTAAATTTTTTGTTGTTGCAGGGAAGTTTATATTTTCATCATTTTCTACCATTCATCATCTATCATCATTGAGTTATTCCTATTGTAATCAGTAATGATAATACACTTTTGTAAATTTACATTATGTAGCTTAAAATCTAATCGTTTTACTTTGTACAGGTGAAATTTATAAAAGATGATGAGTGGGTGAATAATGTACATCAATAAAGTAATAAGGTATACAAAAAATCCGTTTGTAACGTGTTACAGGTGTAACATTTGAGAATTTGTAATACCCGTAACGTGTTACGGGTGTAACATTTGAGAATTTGTTATACCCGTAACGTGTTACGGGTGTAACACCCGTAATGCGTTACGGGTGTAACATTTGAGAATTTGTTACACCCGTAATGCGTTACGGGTGTAACAGAAATCGTTACGGGTGTAACACACTTAATTGCCAATCACTCATTAATTGGTGGGGCAAAATCTGACCCCTATACAGATTTAAGTAGAACAACTAACCCGATTTATCATAGTGTAATTTTTTTCGTTCTATGACCAATTTTCAAATCCCGTGTTTTTTGGGTCGGTTTTGATGAGAATCACCCATGAGTATATATATACAATATATTGTATACATGAGTATATATATATATATTGAGTAATTCGAACAATTGAAACAAATCAAATTGGCGGGCAAACGATCCGTTTCATGATATGTATAAAAACAATACCAATCATCAGTGCCAAATAGAATAATGAATTGTAGCGCTATGACATGTTGCTCCTTTATAAAATAAAGGAGCAACATGTCATAGCGCTACAATTCATTGAGTATATATATATATTCTTCCTTCTTAGTGAAGAAGATTATATTCAACGAATAGGTGTACATTTAAATGATAGATCTGTATATAGTATTGTAAATAATGTAGATGATTTAGTTGTAGAATTGATTGATAAAATTTCGAATTGGACAATTGAGTTTAAAGATGAATTAGGTATGTCCAAGAAGGTCAAGGAGTGGGTTATTCCATGTACTGAGCTTAACCAGCCTGGAAACATGTACCTGAATCCCAAGGCACACAAACCACCTTTGTATCCTGGGAGGATGATTACCACCGGCTGTGGTTCATACATTGAAAACCTTTCTGCCTTGACTGCGTTTGAATTGAAGAAGGCTACTTTGAATTATAGAATTATTGATACCCCTCACTTTCTGAGGAAGATTGATAGCCTGAACGAGTCTAGCATATTGTTGGGAAAGGAGGTTATACATGTTGCCATCGATATATCTAACATGTTTACCAACATTCCTAGGGATATGGGGATCCAACAATGCACTAAGCACCTGAATAAAAGGAGTAGTGGTGATCAATTGTTTAGTACAGAATGCATTATTAGTGCACTAGAAATTACTCTTGATTACAACATTGCTTCTTTTAACGGTATAACATACCGCCAGGAGCGTGGAGCAGCGATGGGTCCTAAGAACTCATGTGAGTATGCTGATTGTGCTATGGATAAGATTGATATTTTAGTTAACGAAGGAGATCTAGAATATGGCCCGCCTCATAGACCAGCATTCTGGGGTAGATTACGTGATGACATTTATATGGCTTGGCCCGGTACTGTTGAGGAACTATTACAATTCATGGAATGGCTCAATAGTATCCACCCAAACCTTTTGTTTACTTACGACTACTCTAGGGACGGCGTTGAGTTTCTAGACACCTATGTCTATGCTGTTGGTGATGTTGTCCACACCAAACTCTACTCTAAACCTAGTGACACCCACTGCTACCTTATCCCCACGTCATGCCATAGGAACCATGTTGTAAAAAACATACCTTTTGGAGTGGCGAGGCGGGTGAGACAGAACAACAGTGAAGACACTAACTTCTTGGAGCAGAGAGAGGTCTATACACGTTACCTTCTAGCCCGAGGTTATCATTCCAGTATTATAGAAGATGCCTTTAACAAATTTAGTGATATAGCTAATAGGAAAAACTTGTATACCCTTAAAGACAAGGATGAGTCGACTGCCTGTTTAATACCCATGGTGATGGATCAAAATCCAGCACTTCCCAACATGGGGGGCATTATCCATAAGTATAAGCACCTTCTCAACCTTGATCCGGCCCTGAAGAAGCTGGTACGTGCGGACAGTGTATTCGTGAGTCATCGAAAGAATCAAACTATCGGTGGCATGCTTGTACACAATAAGTACCGTGCCAGTGGAACTTTAAACTGTGATAATGAGAGAGAAACAACTGCAAGTCAGATCCAGGAACCAGACTCCGAAAGTCTAAGGGCGGTTCCCGGGGCTGTCGACCCAGGGTGCCATGCTTGTGGTAAATGCTATGTTTGTAAGCAAAATTTCCTGTCCCCCTGTTCCAACTTTAGTAGTCACCATTCTAAACAAGTTTTCCCTATAACTAAGTATATATCTTGTCAGAGTTATAACCTCATTTATTTAATGGAGTGTAAGACTTGTAAACAGTCGTATGTCGGTTATACTACCTCAAATCTCCCTAAGAGATTCTCTAACCATAAGAGTCACATAAAGAAAGGTATAAGAAGTTGTAAATTAGTTAACCATTTTTTAGATATTGATCATGATTTAGATTTTAGTACCATAGCCTCCTATAATTCCTCACTTAGTAAGCACCTTTCTGTCATTATAGTAGACGCTTTAGTATTTGAGCCTAATATTAGTAAAGCAGACAAAGAAAAGGCTATGGAAGCTAGAGAGGGGTTCTACCAGACCCAATTGAAAACCCTTGAACGGTTTGGGGGTATGAACACCCTTGATAGTAACCATATACTTTTTAAATCTGCCGGAGCTTAGTTTTAGTTTTAGTATATTTTGTAGATTTTATTTAGTTATACAATTATTCCAGAGACGTGCATATTACATTTTTTACTTAATTATAAATTTTACAGGTTTTTTGTTGTGATTTTAAGTGATTTTCCGAGAATCAGTTATCAGTATTTAGATTAGAGATAAGATAAGAGTACATTTCTAACGGCTTTCAGTTTCTTTTTTAAATTTTAGTTCATCAGATTTTCCCACTGCTTTTAGTTTGTATTTATTCTCAATTGTATATGATTCGTATTTGTTGTAGTTACTTTAATGATATAATTTCTCAGAATTGATGTAAATAAACGATGCAAAGACTTTCGAAGATCTAATCACAACCGCTTTATTTTATTGTGTAGAAGTCCAGCCATGAAATATATATATATATATATATATTGTAGTTTTTATGATTGAACCCCTATGCTCATTCTTTAAAGAATAGTTTTTATACGGATGAAGTTGTCCCTGATTATGCACAAAATATATGGACTAAAATTGAATGGATGAGTATAAACTCAAGTGTATGAAATTAATAACTTTCTATGAATTATCCCCAATTCCTGTCTACCTTCAAGTAAATTTTAAATTCTGAAAACCAAATTTAACTTATAATGTACTTTAAATGTACATTTTCATAACATAATATTTTGGTTTTAGTTAAGCACATGAGAAAATGAGGGATAAGCGGAAGTTATACTTCCTTGTCTTGCTTTTCTTGATAGAACTTTCTTCACAGAATCTCAATGATCAAGAAACAGGTATAATTTTGTTGGCTGCCGGTCAGAAACGGGCGGAATTGTGTTCGCTGCCAGTTAATCAAGTTTTCCATAACCAAAAACTCAGATTTATCACAAATTAAAGAATGTTGTTTTTTGAATTAATTAATTAAACTGTAATAACTTTATTTTCGCAATTTATATTCTGACATCATCAAACTTTATTATACATTGTACATAGTACGGAATATATTTATTATCTATACGGTACTCCCTATTCCTTAATTTTCCATCATCAGAACTAGTAGCAATTAAAGCAGTGACGGCATCACAGGCATCAACCATTGATGGGTATATAGCAGAAAACTGCATAGATGGCAACATAAACACCTTTTGTCTTGGAAATTATGGACGAGAAGTTTGGTTTGAGATGGCGCTTAATATATATAAGTGGAACTTCTGTATTGATACAGTTAAAATAGTCGGTTATAAGACAGATGGTGAACAGAATCGCATGAATAAAGGGAAAATCACAGTTTTTAACTCAAATTGGCAGAGTCTGTGTGGTGTGCTACGGATAAGAGATGGTGAAGACCAGAACTATGATATTGAGTGCGGAGAATATGTGTGCGGGAACAGGGTTAAACTCAGTGTTATTCGAGACGAGAATGAGTATGAAGGAATGATCGCTATGAGAGAAATTACTGTTTACTACTCAACCGGTAAGTGAAAAATCTTTTGTATTTTCTATTAAAACATCGATGAATTGATTAATTAATAAAAATTACATCACTTCAAGATCCAATATCTCTAAAAAATCTAATATACTAAACTTTCAGAATGTAAGTACGCGCCAAAGTTCTGGAAAGGAATGATCTCGACAGACCCCGCATTACCAGTACCTGATAAAACAGTCCTGACATATACATGTACAGAGAGGAACACACTTATCAGAGGAGCGAATACAATCACATGTAGACAAGGAAAACCTTACGCTGAGAAACCAAACTGTGAAGTATTCGGTAAGTTCTTAAAGTTCCTGGTGATCATACCGAAACCTGAGAAGAATTTGCAGCTAACCTCCTACTATAATATATCACCCCAATCCCCACCCCCTCCCGGCTCCCACCCCCTCCCACCCCTCTCCACCCCCTCCCACCCCCTTCCACCCCCTAACCCCTATTGGCTTAACCTTCATTTTAATGGTTTTACAATGACCAGAGTGGAGGTGACCATTTTTCATTTGACCTTTAACATTTTAACAAAGATATCGTCGCAAATACCATTGAGCTTGCAAATACACATGTAGTTAGTCACCTACTTATCACCCTCTAATAACCCACTAATCACCAACTAATCACCAACTAATTACCAACTAATTATCCACTAATTACACATTAATTACCCACTAATTACCCACTATTATAATCACCTACCAGTAAGATATTTGCCAAAGCCGGGATTGCAGTCAGCCATCATACTTTTGCTGTCGAACAGTTGACTTATCAAATCCTGTACTCTATGGGCACGGAACTTGGCGTTTGCCTCACTCAACAGTGGCGCGTAACCTGATAAATGTTAGTTCAGTGGTAGTGGCGCATAACCTGATAAATGTTAGTTCAGTGGTAGTGGCGCGTAACCTGATAAATGTTAGTTCAGTGGTAGTGGCGCATAACCTGATAAATGTTAGTTCAGTGGTAGTGGCGCATAACCTGATAAATGTTAGTTCAGTGGTAGTGGCGCATAACCTGATAAATGGTAGTTCAGTGGTAGTGGCGCATAACCTGATAAATGGTAGTTCAGTGGTAGTGGCGCATAACCTGATAAATGTTAGTTCAGTGGTAGTGGCGCATAACCTGATAAGGGTCAATTCAGAGGTGTTTTTCAATATCAGTCAACTGGAAACAATCGAAACTGCATTTCTGCACAAATAATGTCATATTGCTAATGTCTTTATAACTTTTAGCTGATTAACTCACTGGAAACAAAGAAATGGAGTCTTGGAAATGGCACCATGTTCACTGCTAACTTTCTAAGATCTGCATTTAACTGGGGGGAAAAGAAACTGATTACATTAAATTATGGGTTTTATCTAGATACTAATCCTATCTACCTTACTCGGGATTATTATGACCGGGATAAAGTGGTGGGTTTAGGGTAATTTCGCCATATTTTTCCCGAACCACATTTTCACCGGTCGTTAATAAACCCGCCTACTCAGCTTTTAGGGTTCCCAAGGGGTATGGGTGCTCATATTTTAATCGTTGTCTTATATTCACTAAAGAAGACTATTGGGAAACTTGTTGTAGGTTTTTCGACTTCATTTGGCTAAAATTGCAAAAAATTCACCTTTTTGCCCAATTCTTGTCATATATCCTTATTGTCAAATTTGATTTAAATAGGCCAATTTTTAATTTCTTAGGTATTGACTATCTCTACATAATGAAATAGGACTCAAAGTAAAAGTAACAGTTAAATTAAAACTTGAATTAATTAAAACTGATGAAAGGGATGATCCAGATGAAGATAACGAAGATGATTACAACTTATTGGAAGACTAAACAGCTCTCCCTTTATCTTAATATCGATCTGGTTGTTACGCTTCAAATGTTAAAAATTATTTTCCATCTAGTTTGATTAACCACGAGTCATTATTTCTGTCTACTTTCAACAATTATTGATAATTCGACTTGTTTCACAAGTTTTAGCAATGCGAAAATTTCTAAATTTGCTTATCTCTAATAAGGAAATTTACATCTGTGACAAAATTTTTGAATCTAAAATTGAAAGGTTGGACACCGGTAAAATGGCGACCGGGAAAATGTGGTGGGTTTTGAGCAATTTCGCCATATTTTTCCCGAACCATATTTTAACCGGTCGTTAATAAACCCGTCGTAATAATCCCGAGTAAGGTAGATATTATCTAGATGCCAGCCCTACTGATTACATATTGTACAGTAGCTTTCGATTCATTTATCAATAATTAAATCTTGATGATTGAGCAGCAAATACTCCGACAAACAAACTTAGTGGTCCCTACTTAGTACTTTAGTAGTCCCTTGTTTGTTGACATTTCTATGAATAACAACCAAAAAGAACGACATAATTGTAAGGCGCACCTGTCCAGGGAACCCACTAATTACCCACTAATTACCCACTAATTACCCACTAATTACCCACTAATAACCCACTAATAACCCACTAATCTCCCACTAATAACCAACTAATCCCCCACTAATGAGAGAGGTGTACCTGTCCAGGGAATCTGAGTGACGTTGTGATTCCCGCCATGGTGTTACACACAAGACCGTTAAGGTCTGAGTAGTTTGGAGTTTTTATCATCAGAGTTTCAGTGCAGATTCGATAGAGAGCCTCGTTGTCTAAGAAACGGTGTGACGTTAATGTTGTTATGATATTAACGTTGTGACGTTAATTTTGTTATGATATTAACGTTGTGACGTTAATTTTGTTATGATATTAACGGTGTGACGTTAATGTTGTTATGATATTAACGTCTGATGTTAATGTTGAGTATTTGTATTTGAGATATTCACGTAGAACAAAGGTAGCTGGTTAAAGTTCCAATGTAACTGCAAAAAATCAGGATATAACATCTAATATTAAAATTGCAGTTTTTGTTGTTGTTGATTAAACAATTAACTGAAGTGAATATCATGATACTGAATATCATAATGCTCAAAGAAAAGCACAAATATTTAGCAATAGATACAATGTTAGAATGCTGACCAAAACAAAAAGATTCGTCAGTATTCTCAATAAGTTGGTGCATAGAGAGAAGGGCATTATACGGTTCCACAACAACGTCAGACACTTTAGGAGACGGATACACGGAGAAGCTCATGATGATTCTATCATAGTATTCCTCTCTGAGGCGGTTTAGAAGGAGAGTACCGAACCCGGAACCAGTGCCCCCTCCTAGAGAGTGACAGAGCTGGAACCCCTGGGGACTGTCACATGCTTCAAATTCCTTTCTCACTACTTCCATAACGTTGTCAGCGAGTTCAGCCCCTTCTGTGTAATGACCTGTTGCCCAGTTGTTGCCTGGGGGAGGTATTTATTAGAGTATTAGTGACAATACAAGCTGCCACTATTGGTATTATAAATTGAAATTGCAATATTAAAATTATAAAAAAATGTTGACTATTACAACTTTACAGTGTGTCTAGAATTACACATTCGTCAGAAATAAAGGATTTTGAAATTCAGTTTCTGACCTGCTCCATTCTGACCATGAACAAAGTTGTCAGGTCTAAAGGCTTCACCATATTTGCTTGCTTTGATGACGTCGATAACTCCTGGTTCCAAGTCTATTACCACAGCACGAGGAACGTACCTGAATCTCGTGTTACGCACGTGATCATATAAAAATAAGTTCAGAACTTAAATAATTTCATAACTAAAATAAATTTACAACTAAAATAAGTTCATGACTAAAATAATTTCATAACTAAAATAAACAACCTGTCCCCGGACACCTCATTCCAGTACACATCTATTCTGTCCAAGCTCTCTTCGATTTCATTATTTTCATCGAAATGTCCATTAGGCAGTATACCATGTTCAGCACTTATCGTCTCCCAAAACTGAAATGATAAATGGTATTAATAGTCATGAATAAACTGAATGACGATTTTATTTTATAATAGCCTAAATTAGTGTCGGATGGTTAATGGTTATGCTGGTTTTGCCTCCCAGTAATGTGGCATCCACTATCTAAATATGAATAACATGTGTTTCATTGCAAAAGACGACAAGAAAAACAGTTTAACAATGCCTGAAAGTGTAAGTAGTTCCATCCTATTATACTCATATAATAATAATGTTGTATGTTATACTCACATATAATATTGCCTACCTTCAATCCGACCTGATTGCCACACTGTCCAACTTGAAGATGCAATACCTCCCTCATTATCTAGAAAAGAGTACACGATCACAATTATCTCAGTTAAATATCATGGCACTCAATTTTAAATAAATAAATAATTAATTCTAACATTTTAATAAATATTCAGACCAAAAGTTGCGGGTATGAGGGATTGTGTCCACGGATAAAGTGAAGTTATAGAGTTCTAAGTAGCGATGGTTATAAATGTATCATGGGTGTATACTGTATAATTGTGGCGTGCTGAGTTGGTATTGATATATCTATAATTTAGGGGTCACGAAATCCTCTCCGAACCTCCACGTGGTGTGGCCTGGTTGGCACTAACGGGTGGTGTGCTCTCTTGTTGAGTACTAAGGTTGGGACTTGCCAACTCAAAGTTCCCATGGGAACCAGGAAGTCAACAATAACAGCTACCAAGCACCAGGAAATTTCTCTTTCAGATATCAGGTTACAAGATAGTACACACACAAATGACGATACGTTAGACACAGATACCTAGCTCTAAGAGCTATTAAATCACCAGGAAATTCTCTTCCAGCTTTCAGGTCCCATCGAAGTCACCCACCACAGGGCTAGTATATATATAGTATAGGGATTCCAATTCGCTCATCCTGACTACAAGGACACACTGATAATGAGTAGTCTTGGCACTTCTCCCTCCAGTGACCACTTTTCAGGTCTTTTCAGTTAAGACAGCTAATGCGTAAGGGCTGACACACGCTAGACACAGGCTCGTGATAAGACAGAATTAGGGATTTCAACTCTGACTACGAGGACACAATGATAACGAGAATTCCTGGAACTTCTTCCTCCAGTAACCACTTTTCAGGGACCGGGTTAGCTTTGCCACACTCTTTATTGAAGTGTGACTGGACGCTCTACAATCATCTAGTAGCAGCAGAGTTTGACTGACATCCTTACTGGTTCTATTCAGTTTCTACAGCGGAAGTTTTCAACACTCGAATCAGTTCATCTCGGACATCCTGCAGAGATGCTTTATCACAGCCTGCCCCATTACACGGGGAACCCTTAGATCTACAGTACCCTGGTGGACAGCTTAGCTCATTAAAGCATAGTGGACCTCTTTATTTCTGAGACGCAAAGCTAACCGGACCAGGAATAAACATCAATGCAATGCTTAGGGGATGCAAATAGGACATACAACGTTTAACGATTTACTCGAACTTTTGATTCATTTTTAAGCTCGACGTTACATGGTATCAATTCAGGACAGATATTCCTTCTTCAGGTTCATTGAGGAAATCGTACCCGCTATTTGCGTTATACATGGCAAGTATCTGGACTAATGATAACTTAGGATCTCAATCAATCATAAATTCCTCTCAGATTCCCAGGCTGCATTTAAAGCCCTTAACAGCACCAATTTTAACTCCAGGTTCGTTCTGAACATCTCAGACCAACTCAACTCGCTAGGTTTTCTCATCGAGTAGAACTTTGTTCCAGGACATGAAGGAGTATACGGTAAAGAACTATAATCAACACCCAAATAAAAGATTACCTCTTCAATCTCCATATCAAGAAGTATAAACAGGTGGCACTCAGTGATAAAGGAAAAACCCCACTAACATTTTTCCTCAACAAAAACAGGTACAAGAAAATTAACATCACAGGTACTCACATCAGATGGCTAACATGGCTACTATCAGGACACAGCCCACTAGCATACTTCCAGACGGTAGCAAACAACTCCAATTTCGAAACACAAGACTGTGAACACTGCCCAGGGGAAGCAGAAACATCACAACACTTCCTATGTGAATGCATCCAGCTGATGACAACTAGAATGAGGATATTTGGTAAACCCATCCTAACAATTGAGGAACTCATCAATAGTAAACTCGACCACATTATCAAATTCGTGGAACAGTCAACAAGGTTTGACAGAGACGATCTATTTGGATAAGCATCTAGGACATACACCAAGGTTCATAAACAATCATACACTAGACCCACACAGGACTATCTCAGATAGTGACACATATTCAGGTGTGGACCATGCTCGGAAGTCCCTCGCCTGCCCGCCAAAGAAGAACATCTGAAGTGGGTTTGCTCTGAGCAAGGTAGTAACAGCTTCGAGACTCCAGAGGTCTGTTGCGTTGATATCTATTATTCTATGTTTTTGTATATACTTAGGGAGTCCTGGAGTGTGGCTAGCAGGAGTCACACTCTGTGGGCACGGCGAGAAGGCCTCCCTCTTCACTAGGAGGCCAGAAACCGTTGACCAAAACAGAGAGAGAGAGATCTATAATTTAGATCGCCTAAAAAAGTCTGATGACTTTAAGTGTGATGGGATTATCAAACTCCAGCGCCAAAATAAAAGAGTTTTCTTGACGTCTAATACCAGCCACTGCATATCAGTATTGATGATCAAAGATAAAAGTCCAAATATACTTTTTACAATGGACATTTCAATTGTTTCAAAGATAACTGAATTGTAAATCGTGGAAAAACTAAGCTGATAGTGTTATTATTAATGTAATAAATATGAGTGTGAAGCAGTGGTCGACTAGGATCCTGCTGAAATTTATTTTTAAACTTTGTTTTGCAAGCGATTTTTACTTTTAAAATTACGAAACCTTCAGCAAATTGCCCTCAAAGCTTGCCTGACGCCTGTGATCACTTCATCTCATACTTCATAATTATTCCATACTCTGTCCTAAATATTTAGAATACAAATTGAGAAGGATGATTTGAGGGTGTGTTGGTGATTTTACCTGGGAAGCTGGGATTAAATATTTTCAATATCATAAAAGTAAAATACTGGAAAACATTCATTAGATAATGATTTTAAGAGTTGAGACTGTTTTAAAGCTGTGGAGGTATACACACAGTATATATATATAATATACAATGTATACTGTATGTATAGTATACATACAGTATGCTCTTCTATTAAGCTCTCCCTGGTATGTACTTGTATACTAGGTGAGGACTGGAAACTTATGGTTACAAAATATCGGTAATAGTTAATACTGATGTATAGTATGAAACCAAATAATTATTATTAACGATCTTACACCAACTATGACTAAATTAGTTTATGCCATTACAATAATCTAGACATGCCATAACAAGACTGTTAACGACAACCTCTATCTGTTTGAGACTCAGTAGGAATCTGATTTTTCTGATTTTACGCATTAATCTATTGAAACATTTCTTCTTGAGATTTATTATCTGATTATCTGTTTATCGAATACCAGCTGATTGTCAAGAACTAACCCAATGTTCCTAACAGTAGGCACAAGCATTATTAATGTGTTAGGTGCGATTTCAGCCACTTAACTAGGTCCAAAGAATATAAGTTGAGTTTTAGAATCATTTAGCTGCAGATAATATTAAGACATCTAATTCTTTATCCTCAAGACGCAATTTTTAAGTTGGTTTGCTATAGTTTTGACCTGATCTGAGATTGCAATATATAGTAAAATTTAGCTATATATTGAGTTATTTACATCATGTAATACTTTCAACACTACTATATAACAAATAATTTGAGGTTTTTACTGCGTTTTAAACGACGACCAACAGCTTTTAGTGGGTTAATCAAGTACTTTTCAGCACTTACCACCATATTTATTTGGTTTGAGTTAAAGTAGAGAAGTCTCAAATCCTTTACAGCAATGGTTATCACTGATGTCTATGACAAGATGGAAAAGGAGTTGGAAACGATCAACAAAAGTTTAAAAGGTAAGAAGAAGTTGGATACTCTAATTGCAGATTCTTTAGAGTTACCCCAAGGGAATACGAAGCTGGATATGTTTGAAGTTATAAAGGAACTATACAGTTTAAGTAAGAGGGCCCTGTCACTACTGAAGACCAAGTCTATACTAGAGACACCTGCACCACAGGAAGGGACAGCTACTGAGGCCCTAGATATAGTGAGAAAGGATCTAGCACAATTTAGACAAATTCTCATTGAGCACAATAAAGGTGGTCCAGATATTATACCTGAGATTAATAACAATCTCGGACCCAGTGAGACTCATACTTTAACTCTGGAAGGGCAGAATGAGGCAGATAAGATAACAGAAGAATTCTGGTCCTCAAAGGTGAAGAAACATGTTGCATCAATACTGCCCAGCATCCCTATTAAGGGGGTCTCAGGTGTCAAAGAAGGCACAGCAAGGTTAATATTTAAGAACAAGGAACTTATGGAGAAAGCTAAAGATGCTCTTAGTGTGGACTACAAAGTGTCTGCAAAATCCCACACCGTGACAATGCTTGAACCTAAGCTTACTATGTATGATCTCAAGGGAGATTTTATTGAGTCATCTGAAGAATTGCGCCAGAGCATCCTTGATAAGAACAGTTCTATTAAGAGTTTAGTTGAAGATGATAACAACACTTTCAAGGTTATTTTCCTGGAGAAAAACAAGACCTGGGCATGCCTACAAGTGTCAGTGAAAATCAGGCAGTCTATAAGGGAGTCAGGTGACTTTGTACACGCTGATCTTGGACAGTATAAAGTTAAGGATAGGTATCATGTAATCCAGTGCTTTGACTGTCAGAGCTTCGGACACATGAGTGGCAGTGATTACTGTAAGTGTAAGATGTATAATGCCGACCCAGTGTGCTTCTACTGTGCAGGTGCCCATAAATCGAAAGATTGTGAGAAGAAAACGGCGGGCCGAAGATCTAGTATCAAGTGTACGAACTGTAGCAACAGTAAAGACAAGAATGTCAAAGATAAATGCAAGACACATTCTGCAGCTGACAGATTATGCCCATCTTATGTGAGAGAGCAGAGTTATATCATGGCCAGAACGAGCGGATGTGAAACATCAAAAAACTCGTATCTCCAGTGGGCAAAGATTCGACAAGCTCTCTTTAGAGAGCTTGGGATAAACTAGTCTTAGCCACGTTTAATGTTAATCGTCTAGTGAACAAGACAGTAGAGGTTCTTGAGCATCTAACTGATGAGGGGGTTGATATCTGTTTTCTTCAGGAATATTTTCTTAAGGAAGCAGATACTGCAAAAATACAAGAGATACGAGATTGTGGTTGGGGTATTTTATCCAACCCAAGGAAGCATCGTAGTGGCGGAGGAATAGGTATGATTTTCAATAAGAACCTTAAGTTGAAAAGCAACGGTAGAGTCAAGAAGTAAAAGTCTTACCAAGTCATGGAAGTTGTACTGGAAACAAATAGTGGGATAATCAGACTTATTGATGTGTATAGACCGCCTTACACCAAAAAGGCCAGGTACACTGAGTGCCACTTCTTGGAAGAATTCAGTGAATACCTGTGTGATTTTTCTGGTAAGCCAGGAACCCCGGTGATTGCAGGGGATTTTAATTTACATATTGAAAGACCTAAATATCTTTACCACGCAAAGTTTCTTTCCCTTCTTGATCAGCTTGGTTTCATCCAATGTGTACCACTAGAAAAGTAAAAGGACTCACAATCAAGGAGGAACTCTTGACCTCGTGATAACAACCAAAGTCTTTAAAGACTCTATAACTTCTATCAACATTGTGGAATCTGGGACTAGATCAGATCATTTTCTTGTTAAATTTGTAGTGTCTGAGAGCCTGAAGACCTCTTTGAATGATACAAGGGTGATGAACTACCGTGATTTTAAAAGTATTGTGGTTGAGGATTGTGAGATAGACTGTGCGATTTCAAGAATAATTTGACTGCTCCAGAGAAGAATTGATGATCAATTTTTGATAGCATACGTCAAGACTTAGTGAATAGTGGCACCAACTATTGTCAAGTTACAAAGACCCTGACATGTCAAATAGGAGCTCTATTCAAAAAGGTAGACAATTTGTCTTCTTTGGACAATGTAACTGATTAAAGTCATAGTTAACAGATACTGCTCAGAGACAGAGCAAGATAACTCTATCGTATTTTATATTTAGCAATATTACTATTTTTGTAAAATAACACATCACTATTTTCTAAAATAGCACATCACTGCAGTATAAGTAGAGGAGCTAACTTGTTGCAGAACATTTTCTTCAAGATTTTTTCAGCGTTCAGTTGGTTCACAAGATCAAGGTTATCTGTCAGTACACTCCAGGCCAGCAGTTGAAACTTTAATCGGTTATATAAGGTCTGTTCTGTCTCAATTCTCACTCGCAACGGAGCAGCATCTTTGTAACTTTATATCAGGTAATTAAAGTTTTTATTTTTCTCAAATTCATTATTCAATACAGTCTAATATCAGGATATTAAGCCAATAGTTTACTAATAATTACACATAATTAAGGGTCTGGAAGGTAGCTCTGAATAATTAACTAAATTAATCCATTTTAAAATATATTTCCTTTCATTCCAGTTCAATGAATCTACTTGCTTTCATTCTAACGTGTTGGTTACTTAATCGAACTAAAGAAACAAGTAAGACATATTCATAGTTAATTATACTAGTTGAAGTTAATTAAAATTATTATGAATTGGTCCGTATCAGATGATTTTGAACAATTTTATGATTATGATGACATTGCTTTTTGAGTTCATAGCTTAGTACAAATGTGCAAGTTTGAATAAGATATATAAAGATCTGAGGCAAACAGATATAGTAGAGTAGGGCCAAAATTAAGACAGCAAAGTATGCCACTTTTGGCCCCCAGTGTGATATAATTATAAACTGAAGCCGTGAAATTTAACGACAAGCTTGAAAACGTGTTTTTTACAGAGAGAGTTCAATTTGAATTATACAGATGGAATGGACTTCCTAGTAAAGCCACGGTTGGAATTGTTGTTGCTAGAACATCCACAGAGGTATTTTCTTGACTTATATTTTAATTATACCACTATTTATAAATTAAAGGTATGTAATATAATGGATGCAAGAAATAGTTGCGACTACTACCACCTCACTGGAGATATATTTAAATTAGTAATTGAGTTTGTAATTTGTGTTACAAAACTGGTTACAAAAATCAGCGAATAAATTCGTAAATATATTATAAACAATACAAATTTTATATATTGTTGTTCTTCATGTGATGGTTGAGACAACAGATATCATTACAGGTAGTGACAGTCGCTGTCTCGAGTGTCACAGACCACATCGCAGATTTGATATGCAAGGATATGGGATTTAATCATTCTGTGGATTAGTTTGGTTTGGTTATGTTCTATAGACTTAGGAAAGGAAATTTGAATGACAATACCATTAATGATAGGTTAAAGGCATATAAAAGATGGTAAGTAAATTCGCACTAGTGCAAAGACAAAATAGTTATTTTACCAAGTTACTTTGTTGAGCTTCCTTAACAAGGCCAATAGTGTAGAACGTATGTCATTAAAATCTAAGTGAAGATTGACATCTTTCATACAGACAGACAGAGGAAGGTTATGTCTCAGTGACATGGGGCACTTTAAAGTTTTATTAAGGTATAGCTATGCTGGGAAACTACGAACCCACTCCAGCCAGTTTACCGCTTTTACCTGATTATAAAGCGAGGGAACCACAATAATGCAACTAAAGTTCATTATCTTTTAATATGTAGTTAGTGTACTCTTATCTCTATGGTTAGTAGATAGGCTAAGTCCCAACAACTTAGAAGCATTAAGAAAACGGTCAACCCTGGTCACTGTTCACCAATTTACTTGCTTTAAGGCGACCTCGGAGTTTCGACGTTGTCTTTCCAAAGCTTTTGTTTGCCTTAAGCCCCAAAACAATTAACATGCCTGCGTTTTCCACCCGGTGTTCCAAAGGATGTCTGCAGATATGAGCGGTGGTTGGTTTCCACCCTGCCCTCTTGATCCATGGTCGGGTTCCAACTTTTTTTTTTAATCTCACACTTATTTTACTTCGGAGTATTCCAACAGCCACATTGTTACACAATTGTAACTAGCCAATTACAGGAAGCCGAAGGATTTAATTAGGCCAGTGACGGTTAAGGTAGTGTGTACCATACTTTCTTCGCCCGAGACTTCGCTGCAATGGACAGCTTCTCATTTAACCCTCACACACGATTTCTCGAATATTCGGCTGAGTAGACCGGGGGGCTGCATAGACCACTCAGGATCTTTAGCTGAATGTCGACGACACTCACCCCACGACTAGGCAGGCAGTGGGTTTCGAACTCGCAATCTCACGATTACAAATCCGATGATTAACCAACTACGCTACCTGGCCGTTAAAAAACGAAAACGAAATTTTTTCGTCCCTGGATATGTCCAGACTCCAGCCAATGGCATTATTTGGTCCTGTAATTCTAAACTCACACTAGGGAACAAGGCAACGAGTTCCTTTCTGGTTCGGTGTTCTCTCCACTAGTATATCATGTTTATTTTATTCAAGTTTTGGTTAGACTTTAATAAGTGGCATAAATTGAACGTTTTGTTCGACTGGAGTTCCCTGTTTTCTACCTTAAACTGCAATCTTTGTCCTTACCTTTATCTGTAGCACCAATCTGTGAGTAAACAATTCAGGTACATTTCACTGGTTGAAGAACAAGAAAATACTCCACAAAACCTCCGGAAATTCGAAAATCGCTTACAAGGAACAAAAGCAATGGATAATATTATCTGTGGTAA